ATATTATCCAATGATAACAATACTTAATACCTACGTTAATAATACAATATCATAAGCATTTTGAAATGACTTAAAAATAATAATATAACAACAGAGCAACCTAAGTAGGTAAATAGTAGTAATATTGCATAACTTTCTAATGATTGACTCTTTTTAGAAATTAATGTGTTATTTATTTTATGTTGATTATTAATTCATTATTTATAGACGTTTTCATGATATAAATATGTATAAGTAAAAATATTACTCAACACATACTTTTAATAAATATTCATTACATTTACTTATGCTTATTACCTAAATACCTTATTTACCGAACCCAATTTAGCATGACTTCAACATAGGTACAACTATCTAGACACCAGCATAAGTAAATGTCATTCAAACTGTTMTAGTAATTACTATCATAAAACGTGATGGACAATTAAGTTTCCAGGCTTGTTAAGGTCAATCATCAACTGTTATTAACGTATGGTAGGTACTTACCTCTTATAACTGTGGCATTGTTCTTCAAATTAACAAACCAATGTTGATAAGAATAATGCGGACGCACTCCACCGTATACTTTTGGTAAATATTTCGGATCGATGTGTTTGTGTAAAGAATCCATATTTTTACCGTGGAAAAATAACTGTAATCACAAAACATATTAAATTATGTAGTAATAACAATTATAGATCATAAAATATTTTATAAATTATACAGAATGGCAATTTATAACAACAATAAACTATAAAACGTTCAAATAACCAAATTGTAACTTTTTCTAAATAATAAAGACAATATATTGAATAACTAATATCCCAATATTATTTTTATACATTATATTATTTACAAATACATATTATGCAGTTTGTCTTATTCGACACTTTTATAATATAATTACGAAGATATAAAATTGAAGACTAGCAGATAATTATTTTTAATTATTTACAACAACCGAAATCTTTTCTGTCAATATAATATGTAGGTATACATTAATTATACAAGTACTGAATCATTGTTGTACGGTACAGCTTTTCCATATTTCCTTACGATGATGTCAAGCTAAGTTTAGTTTGATTAAACGTAAGGTAAATAATAAAATATTATTATTATCATGGTGATGTTGATTTTTTGCAATTATATTAGTATGTTAACGATGTAAATTGAATCATCRGTAATAATAATTTTGTGTTGTAACACTTCTTGTAGTATTTCAACCGTACGACGCAATATTATTAGATTTAGTTTTTTTCGGCTTATAAAAAAATAAATAATATTACAGTAGGTACGTACCATTTCGTTATAACGATTGCCCAAAAGCGGCTTAAATAGATTGAACACCGTCTCAAATACCCACGACTCGTTGATTATGTGAATCGCGTACGTTTTCATCGGTATGCTGTACTGTGGAACGGATAAAAATAATAATATAATGTATATCGCACAACATAGTTGTAATAATAATGTAATGGCATGGTGTATTAATTTTTTTTCGCCGAAAAGGGTAAAAGCGATCAAAAATCAACATACGACGATGAGGTCGAAAATGGTAGAAACAACTTTTGGCGTGATTTGGTAAGCGTGTTGAAGCGTGAATCCGTTCATATCGAATATGACCACCCCGCCGAGTATTTGAGCCATCGGCTCTAAAATTCCTAGCTCTAACGTGGCCAGCGACGCTTTAAGTATTTCGTTCATGTCAAACTCGTTGGTGTTCCAATTACCTGAGAACATAATATTATCAAATTAACGAATTCAATATTTTATACAAGACGTCAATTAACCGAGAATAAAGTTAACAACATTATTAATAATTATTATTATCACGTTCGAATGAAATAACTATATACCAGCTATTTTTGTTCGGTCAAGTATATTGTAGGTACGGTGAATCATAAATAGTATCACAAAACAATAATTTAGTTGAATATAACTCAAAGAAATAACGCATACGAATTTTTTATAAATATCATTCATTTTCAAAATTATTAATAATAGTGGGTATTTAAATACAATACATGACTAACAAGTTATACATGTGTATTTCAAACACTACAATATATTTGAAGTACCTAACTATTGGAAGTGACTTGGACGTATAACCTAATTATTTATCAGGTGTTTACAAAATAATGTGCTTATAAGTTTTAATAGTTTTTAGTAAMCTTTTAATTTTTATTTTACGTATTTGAATTTGCATAATATTTGTGTATATTGGAGGGAAACTAGAATTCAAGCAAAAGCTGTATAMACATAATATATAAAATTTAATATAAATTGGATTTAATATAATCCAATAGCGATTTCAAGTTTATATTATATATCTATAATAGGAACGTTTATAAATAAGACAATGTTGTTTTTATTTAAAAACAATAACCATGTTCTATTTAGCAAAAAAATTTAAAATTATTCTAAAAAAAAAATAAATAAAACATCAGCAATTTCTRTAGTGATACAATTTAAATTAACACGAATACTTATATAAGGTAATTATTATTAACTAATTAATGAGTAATAATAAAATATAGCAATGAAGCAAATAATGGCAATAAATAAGAGATAGGTAACTATAACATTGAAAACTACTTTTTTGTATGTTAATCTTTTTTAAAGACTTATAAATATACGATTTGTATCAGCCATCAGGTGACAATTATAATTTTTAATTAATTGTGGTTATTATTATTTTATATTTAAGAAGGTTAAAATAAAAAATAGAAAAATGTAATATCGAAAATAGAAAAAACATAATAATGTGGTTTCATTAAAATGATGATAATATACAGCTAAAACCTATAAATCATACATAAAACATTAACCAATATAGAAGTACCTCAGTACCTCTAAACTTTTAAAAAATATATTTACATAAAGTACAATTTCATTTATTCTAATAATTATTAAAATTTTAGTGAATTTATTTCAAGGAAAATGTCCAAAATTCATAATTTAGAAAACTGGCGAAATACAGTAAATAGGTACCCTTTCATAATATATATAAAATATAATATATTTATATTAATATATATAATATATTGTCAGCTTAATTGAATAAAATATGATCCAAAACCTGTAATAAAAAATTCAGTAGTTTCGATATTTAAAATTATCGGTAAGTATCTAAGTATCATAAAAATAAATCATGTCAAATTGATACTAATAAAAATATAGAGATATTTTCAGTAAATTGAGTTTAAAATCGTTATGATTAAAGTTCATAGAAGATTAATTATTGTTATTACAAACCTAATTAAAAAAGTAGTAAATTTATCTGACATTTTCATATAGGTAGGTTCCTATATAATAATTGGTGAATGATAATATTAGATTTAGAACGTATACAATTTTTATAAATCTGTTCAATGTCAAATTCAATATAATTTATAATTTTATTGTTATACTACTATTTCATATTATTCTCACGTATTTTAAATTCACTTTCAGTATTTAATAGTTATTTGAGTATCTATATCTTTAACTTATAAGTAAGGAAAAAATTAATTTACAAGAATTTTCTTACGATTTGTTTTTTGTTTTTTAGAAAGTTAAGTAAGACTGCAATAGGGAGTATAAATGCAATGAATTATTTTTAATTGCGAATAGGTCAACAATTTCATAAAAACATTTTAATTATTCAGAATGGTTTTAATTAAATGGTCACACTATTTGCACACCTGATAGTTACGCTACTGAATTCTTTGCAAAGAACATAATTAATTAAAACTGAAACAACTAGCAAAAAAATTCTAAAATTTAGTCAAAAGGTTTTTGTGAAAATAATTTATTCATCGTAAAAGTCAGTTTGATAAACTTAAAATTACACAAGTAGTTAATAATTCCAATTATAGTTGCATCCTTGCATCAACTATAAATTCATGGGAGGGCAAAACATATAATCTTTTAATCCCTTCGCATATTTTTCCGTCAGAAAAGCAGCGTTTATTAATGACTAATGAGTACCTAAGATACATTATATGAGCAAGTTGAATTATCAAAACCAGAATGGGCTTTAAATACTATTCAAAAACGCTGTTATATTTTCTACTATTATATTTCTCTAACGCTTCTGCTAATTAACACGTACAATTTTACTAGCCCGACCTCATGGGAATTTATACTTGGTAATATAATTTGAATAGGGAGGTACAATTTCAACCACATATATTTCGGTGTAACGATTTAATAATTTATACGTGTATTGTTAAGTTCAATGGACACTGCACGTATAGCAGATTGTTTGTTTAGTAAAAACAAAAAATTATTCGTTTGAATTTTGAAGATAATCGTTAAATGTGATCAGGTATCCACGAAGACGATTTTACTTATTATCTTACATTTATTAAATAATGTACTAATTTAAGTATAATAATTGTATATCATAATTTATAAAGTTCCAAACAGACAAAAAGACCTTCATAGCATTGATATAATTATTATTATATTACTTATATATTGTATTATTATCATTTCATGAAAAACGTATATTATAGTAGTACGCAAAGATTAATGACTATTTACGTCACTGCAGGTTGAACTTAGTTCTAAAATAATTATTGTTATCTGCATGTACCTATGCCGAGGCAGAGTATCCTCGAAGGTTATCACTGTTGCAGATTTCCAACTTGTTCCTTTGTTGTTATGCATTTTGAGATTGGTAGGTATAGTATGTTGCCCCTCCCAAATTTAAACAATTTAAGTTTTTGCGTCATACGATTTATAACCATTGTCTTATTATCAAAACAATGTTTATCCCATATTTTTAACAAACACAACCTGTGCACGTCTAATAACGGTTATTGCATAAACAGTTATTGCAAATACTAATATTATAAAAATATAAACTGTGGAACTACGTATATCACTGGATAAATAATCGGGATACAAAAGAAAATAAGACACTATTAACATAACAGACTAATTACATTTAGATTTATAACTCTAGCTAAGCCATGTTTATGATTATTTGAATAGTTCAAAAATGACAAAAATCATTGTTTACGAATAAAATATAATTACATAATCGTTCATTCATGAAACGCCATAGAATGTTATAAAATATTGAATCATTTAGTATTTACAAAAAAAAAAATATCAAATTCATTAACAGAAAATTAATATTACGGATTTCACAAGTAGACGATAACTATTTCGTACAATATTTAAAAATAAATAATACTAAAGCTTTATGTCGTCTGAAGGTAAAAGCGTTCGCGACTTTTAAATTTTAAATGAATTTCTGAAAATCATTAAAAATTATATAAAAGAAATAAGACTTAACTATATAAATAAGTATATAATACATTAATATAGATATATCAACCAACGTTTATGAAGGTAATTACTATTTACATCAAATAAGTTTCTCCAAGGATCTGAAAATGTGTATTCATTACTTATTCAGAAAATATACGCTGTGCTATTAAGTTTTTTATGAACTCTACAATTCCTTTAACAAACTAATATTTTAGGCCACTGCAGTATAATTTTATTCGGCATGAAAATGTCCTTTACTCAATACGCATGGTCAGATAGGAAATTGGTTTTTTTTTTTCACGCTTTGTTTCATTTTTATACTGATTGAGCATACAATATTTATTTTATGTTATATTAATGATACAATATATTACCTTTCTCATATTCATTTATATTTAAAATCAGAATAATAAAGGATTTAAAATACTAAAAATACTATAGATTTAATAATTCATATATAGTTTTTAACTATTTTAAAAATAAAGTCATATTATAATCACATTATAAATGTTTATAAATATTATATCTAATTTATATTCTATGATCTAATTAAGAAGATGTCTGCGTATTTTTTTCTCTCCCTGACACACATGCAACATCTCAAACTTTACGTTCACAATGATTTAAGGTACACATATAGACTTTTTATTACATTTTAATATTAGAKCGAATTATAAGAATTTTAAGATGTACAAACAATTTACAATTTAAAAATACTCATAACTCATTTTAAAATGTAATAAAAAGCCCATGAGATGCCCCAGATAAATTTTGTAAGAAGTAATTTCACTCTAGTTTTAGAAATGATTATGATTATAATCATTATTACAAACGTAAAATTTGGTATATTGCGCGTGGCCTCGTGGGTAGGACAGAAAATAAATATGCTGACATCTTAGGATATATTTAAAATATTAAAATATAATTTTAGCATGATAAGTTCAAAAAAAAAAATAAAAAAATAGAAACAATAAATAATATATAATACAATATACGCTGTATTTACATATTTTCTTCTAACCAAAACAGGAAAGCATAGTTGATTTAGATATAAAATAATCAAAAACATCACATTTGAGAAAAAAATACCTAAAAGTAAATTATGATAATAATATTATAACACTAAGTTTTAGAATTTTTTCTGTTAACTGCAGACAATACTTTATTTTGCTTATTTAGCAAAAGTCTGCTGCATAATTTTATCAGTAGCTATCACAACCACTGAACTACATTATGTATCGCATACGCCTATATTGATTTAACATACCGTTGACTATACAAATTACATTTTGTTACAGTCAATAATAATATTGAGTATAGGCTAGGTAATAATAAATGTTACATATATAATATATAAATATATATATATATATTAATAAGTTATGTTATAATAGTATAGGTACCTATTATATGATATCGTGTACAAGTGCCTATTCATTCTTCTCTCGTAAATATATTGCTAATTAATCACTTAAAAAAAAAACAATGTGACACACTGACACTACCTATTCATTAYACACGACGAGTATGAAAAATAAACCGTTTCCATCTACAGTACCAAGTGTTTGAACAGTAAAAAAGACAAATTGGGTCAAATTTTAAGTTAAAAAAGTATGTTATATAAGATTATACATACCTAATTTATAAATTAAAATTCGTCTGCCTGTCTGTTCTCTATATGGAAGAACGCTTAGTACATCAGAATCGGCTATGAAAGACAAATCCAATGGGTTTATTGTATAGTAGTCAGGATGACTTTCTCTAAATCTGTAGTAATTCACGAACTGCAACAAAACAGGAAAATACAATGATGATTGGTTAGTAAAGATTTAARTATAAAAAAATTAAAATTAAATATAAATTAATCAGTCTCCTAAAAAGAAAAAAATAGTTAAGTTCTATAATTAAATAAATATTGAAAAATAAATCGACCATCTATATTATTCAGATTTAAAAACTATATAATACAAATCACAAATACAATACAATTATTTATTTAGTTCAGATTTGCATAAACTGCTTAATACCTCGTAAAGTTTGATTATTTCGTTAAAATCGCGAGTAAATAAATAAATGATCTAAAAAAATATGTATACATAAAAATGTTGAATACTTTTAATAACTATATTACTGGATACTGCTATTAGTRCTATTCGAAAGTTCAAGAATCTTATACACTGATCCAAATCAATATATTATTATTGGGTGTTGTGTCTACCGATATGTAAATGTATTACATTAGTATCAGCATGAAAACGTAATAATAAAATTATACATAATATTTATTTTTGAAAAGAAATCTTATAAAACCACATTTTAATACGGCCAATTCGAGATTCATTATAAAACGTATTCATAATAATATAATATAGTTAGTATAATATAAATTTACGTATCGATACTTCAATCGTTCAACTAAATTATAACAAACCATTGATTTTTCGCATAATATATAATATTATTGAACCGTGCAATTTTAATCAATCCAAAATATGCGTGTTTTTGTGGTTAAAATTGAACGATATTTTTAACCACAATTAAAAATAAAAAGCTAGCTATAATATGCATYTTAATGCATATATAAGTAATATATTATATTTAAAAAATATTTTGTATTAATAATAATTACAAAGTTTAGTTGCGTACCTATATTTTACATAATCAATCATATAATATCTATAAGACACACAAAATATGTTTTTTTTWAAACTAATTATGTGCGCAATCCATTGGTTACTAGTAGTTTATTATGTTTTTATTATATTAAATTACATTAATAATTTATACCAATTATTACATCGAACAATCCGTTACTAATAAAATCACTTTTCGCCGCCTCTGGGCTTCGTAATTCTTTCACATACAAAACGCTTTAACTAACACTGTAGCACGTGTAAATCAGAAAAACACCAATGTATAAAACTGTTTTATTTGAATGAATATTTTATTTATATTATCTTAYCGAGGAAATTTAGAATATTTATCAAGATTTTTAAACATAAACGTAAACTAAAAATCATATAACAATAAGCTTAATAAGGGCACACAATGTGAAAATGTGTATAATCTATATTTCAGATCCATCTAAATAATAATAAATGATAACCTATAAACTGTATGAGTACTATAACAATTATTATTAATATAAATTAATATAACTTTAATCTGCAAGTATTTAAACAGTCTAAATAATGCTTTCTGCCAACTACTTACTACTAATTAGTAATAGCAGCATGTATTTAAGACAAAAAAATAATTATGATTAATTGTGGTGTTAAATACAAGAACATAAATGGTCTTTTGTTAGTGTTTATTTGAAAAATGTATGAAACATCTTCAAAACGTATAAAAGAAAAATTAGAACATCATATTATTACAAGTTCGCTAAACTGCTAGCACTATAGCGATAACCGTAGAGTACCTGCCTATATGCACGAACTACTACATTAGCACAGCAAAACTATGGTCAGTGTTCATTTGGGAATAATATACAACTATAGGGCCAGTTGTGATAACTCTATATTTTAATAATATTTAATAAATGTAAAATTCATAGAATTTAAAAATAAAATTTAATTTAAATACTTTATTAAGTATAATATTATTATACATATATTTGGACTATTGTAATATAATATAATACTTACTGTTTTTATTTAAAGTTAAATGTTATGAYAGAAATATTTTTATTAAATCAAAAAATTAATAGTAAAATAAAAAATACTGTTTGCAGAAAATATTTACCTAGATTTCAAAAATTTTGAGTGTTACCTAACTGGTGTGTGACATTGTTATTAGTTGGTACCTACCTTTAGAAGTTAAAAATGAGAAAATTATATTCAAATATTTACGCAACACGTCCTACCACTTTCAATACATAACGAAACCGATTTTGAAAGCAGATGTATATCAGCCTATATTGTTTAGGATATTATATAATTGATCTTACTTATATTAAGTAAAATTATTTTTCTAAGAGTAATTCACCGGTAAATATATAGCACTTGCTCATAGTATGTAAAATAATTATTATAATGTATAACGTAATGCATTATTGTGAATGGCTTATAAGTCAATGCTGTAGAATGGCTATAGCTTTATGATATAAATACTACATAGCTTAAAATAAGTAGGTATAAACTTTTAAAAATGTCATTAAAGATTGTTTAGAAGTGTGAACTTCAAACTTTCATAAAAAACATATGTTAGCGTTTAACAATTTTCTTGATTTCAAGTAAACAAAAACAATATGAAATCTTGTGTTAAATTGTCAAGCAATGAGGTCTATAGTACATTTAAAGTGTTATGACGTTATGAGTTTTTAATCAAAAAATGGTTTGCAAATTATTGGGATTTTGACGAATTCCGAAAAATTCTTAACTAATAATTATGACTTTTTTTTGATATTTTTTAAAATACATCAGTAGGTACAACTTATAAAGATTGTTATATTATATTTTCAAATCTTTTAAGTTACAAACAAAAATTGTATTTTACATACCTACGTAAATCAAAAAAAAATTTATAAAAGTCGAAAATTGCAAATGTTTACAAATAGGACAAAAAAGCCAACTTATTAATAAAATAATTTTTACAATTAAAAATCGATGATATAAATAAAAAATGTTAGTATACAACGATTCGACATATTCATATTCATCATTATGATATACTTATATATAGGTACTTAATGTCGAGGTAGGTGCACACTGATGGCATGTTCCTCGGATTGTAGGTATTTAGTTTAATGAATTTTATTATTTTACTACAGTGCAAAATATACCAAAATATGCAATATATTTTGAGTATTTATAATATTCTAATATAGTTATAAAAATAGTTATATATATTAAAATGATAAACCAACTAAAAGTTATAAGAAAACAATAGCTATAGGTAGGTTTAGTAAGGATAGAATATATTAGGTTGTACAAAACAATAATATTATAATAGATTTAGTTTTCTTCATCAAATTCTGTATAAGAGCTATATACCCATATTTGATGCATCAAACAATGTTTTTCGAGATAATAAAACACATCTCAAGTTATTAAACTATTTAAACTAATAATTGACTTTTTCATGCCAAACACGACCTACACAGTTTTTACAATGCAGATTAATAATTTATTTTGCTTTAATTATATATCTGTTATTCTCTACTATCGACCGTAGTAATAAACTTGAAGAGTTTCAAGAAACTTATTTTTGTATATATCAGTTTCATTTTAGTGCAACGTGTACCAAGTACCTACTACCTACTACACAGTACTACATTCGATTTTTAAACAACTTTTACTTTTACCTATATATACAATGCACGCTAACAAATTTTAACATTATATTCAAGTAATGCATGTGCATCATACTAATCTACAAGTGACGTAAAAATGAAATTCACAAATACTTAGATATTTTACACACTTCATAGATATTTAAAATTTACCTTTCATATAAGTTAAAAAAAATGATTTTAGTAGCTATAAAAACGATAATGTAAATGTATTTCCATCTTAGTATCTACACATTTGTATTATAAAATTACATTTTTGCGTTTCATCATAATCAACCTCGAGTTTTTATACGAAATTCAAGGTTATTTGAAATGTTAGACATAACATACTTAATTAATGTTATAAAATATTCGCTGACATATAGTAATACTGTCAATCATAGTGTAATGCTAGGAATGTAACAATAATATGTATGTATGAATTTASACACATGTTTATATAGCTATATAATTTATATTTTAAACATTTTTTCCTTGGTATGGCAGATATTAAAGTAGGCACCTAAATATTTTCTAGCTATAAAAATATGCACATGGCTTAATTTAGATTAGCATCTTACAATCGCTACATAAAAAAATAAATATTAGATAAGCTAATTTTTTTAGAGGACAACAGTTTTTAAAGATGATTTATTTATACATGCATTTATCATTATATTAATTTTACTATTAACTTAATTATAGAAACAGTAATGTTCGTAATATGTATATAATACTATGATCTATATAGATTTATATAATAGTTATAATGTTTTATTTGCCATATATTTTGAAACATTTTATAATGTATTATATATATTTTTAATTTTGATAGATTTTTGAAACTTTATAATTTAAAAATAAATTATTCATTTAATTTAATAATTTGTACGAATATTAAACAAATAATGAGAATATATAAGGTATCACTTTATATATAATCATAATACTTTTTCTATCATAAGTAGAAATAATAGAGACAAAGAAGATATTTTTAAAGACAGTATCTAAAACACTAATAAACAACTAATAACAAAAACTCRTTATCCGTGGTTGGGTCGATATTTCGATAACATATTACTAACGCAATTGCGATTCTAACATTAAAGTTATGTTTTTGCCTCCAAATACCACCTCACTTCTACAGCCATTAGATCATGGGTGGGTAATCGCCGCTTTAAAGGCCTATTACKTAAGAAGAACTTTCCAACGTTTATTAAAAAACATGGAAGTAGATCAAGAACTTACCGTCACACAAGGATGAAAAGATTATAAAATCACTGAATGTTTTGTCAACATCAAAGAATCACTTGACAAAGTTCAACCCTTCACTATAAATTCTTGTTGGTGAAAGTTATGGCCGGAAGTTGATTTTGTCGATAAAATTGACGATCTGAGCACCACTGTGAATCAAATCGTAGGAATTGCTCGGGACGTAGAAGGTTTTGCTGAGATAAATAGTTGATAGAGACGACATAATAGAAGAAATGATGAATAACTATAATCAGGAGC